TTGTAGTTTGGAAAATGACTCAACGTAGTCGTCAATTGAATAACTTATGGTAAGTTGTGCTTATCTTTCTTCTGCACCAAGTATCAGGAAGGAACCCAATAATTAAAATTGTCATTATGGGTGAAAGTGTTATGATTAAGAGTTACAACAAAAGAGTATGTAAGGGCAAAACCACTTCAATGGCAGACACGTGGCTCAAAATGATCTTTTCCCCCATTTTATATTGGAATCTCTCCAATTTTGTCTTCATTGTTGTACTCTTTCATTGTGATCTTGGACAAGTTCCTTGGCCCTTCTATTCCTCATTTTGGTCATCTTCACAATGGGGATAATAATAGTACTTATTTCTTGGTGGTGGTATAAGAATTAATTGAAGTAATGTTTGTAAAAACTTTTAGCACAGTACCAAGTGTTGCAAAAGTGTTTACTTAATCAATAAATAAGATAGCCTCTGCCCACATTAAAGTCATTCAAAATAATGGTAAACCTCCTGATAATATGGTAGGGCAAAAAACACAAAAGAATATTCAGGTACCAGCTAGGAGGAAGGGAACCTCAGGCACGGCAGGTCTTTGAGGGGGCAGAAGAAATGTAGACAGTTTTCATCAGAAATAAAAAGACCTAATGGAACCCTCCCACATTACTGGTGGGGATGCAAAATGGTACAGCTGTTATGGAAAACAGTTTGGCGATTCCTCAAAAAGTTAAACCTAGAATTATCATATGACCCCAAAACTGTACTACTAGGTATATACCCAAAAGAGTGGAAAACAGGTACTCAAATACTTACACATGCATGCTCATAGCAGCATTATTTGTTCATAATAGCCAAAAGGTAGAAACACCCCAAATATCCATCAGGGGATGAGTGGATAAACAAATTGTGGTATATCCATACAATGGAATATCATTCAGCTATAAAAAAATGAAGTACTAATACATGGTATAATGTGGGTGACCCTGGAAAATATCATGCTAAGTGACAGAAGCCAGTCATGGAAAGTCACAAATGGTATGAATTCATTATTAGGAAATATCTAGAATAGGTACATCCATTGGGCAAGACAAATGGTTGCCAGGGGCTGTGGAGAGGAGGGAACGAGGAATAGGTACAGTTTTCTTTTGGGGTGGTGAGAATGTTTTGGAACTAGAGAGGTGGTGGTTGCACAACACCGTGAATGTACTAAATGTAGCTGAATCGTTCACCATAAAATGGCTAATTTTATGTTTTATGAATTTGACCTTGTTTAAAAAAAATACCTACATACATAAACAGGACAGTGAGTGTGCTGTCTTTGTTACAGTTGAGAAGGCAGAAGCATGCCAAGCTTCCACCCACCGAAGAATTCTTTACTTAGGAAAGTCACTAATGTGCAGCCCTTCTAGGCCTTGGTTTCCTCAACGGTAGGAAACCGAAGTAGTATCACATGACCACAGAGATCCCGTCCAGTTCAAATTCCAAGGTAAAGCAATTCAACATCCTTCTTTCTCCCCTGCTCCTCCACACGCTTGAAAATGACCACATCTGCACTGCAGATGCACTCTCGGAGACAACGTTGTAATTAAATCACAGGGAAATTAATTTTAGTTATTATGGAAAGGTATTTTAATATTCATTATTATAATGACACAAATTAATGAACAAATAACTAAAGCAAATGCACTTGAACAATTAACATTGGGTTTTGCCTCTCTGATGCTCAGACTCAGGGCCTGTGCCTGGCTCCAGCCTGTCTGTGCCACTCCGTGTAATCGCACACTCTGATTTTTGCCAGTCACAATATCTGTGGCTGCTCTGCCAAAGGCAGCGCTGGCAGCCCTGAGCTGAGTGGGAGGCCCTTGATTGATTAATAAGTGCCCTTGCCAAGCAGGGATGGCGCCAAGGGACTGAATTCCTCTCTAAACTGCCCATGCTTTGCAACTAAAGTAATCTAGAACAGTTTAGGGCCATCAAACAGTCACTAGAACTTGCTTAGAATATTACTGTAATTAGAACTAGACTAGTTACAATTTTACTCTGAAAATATTGAAACGTTATTTGAGTAGTAAGCCAAATTCACCCAGTCCTGCAACTTAAAGTTCTAGGTCAATATGTTCATTCTGGGAGGTGGGTATATAATTTTCTGTATTTTACTACCACCCCCTCCACTGGCTGCTTCAGATTCCCAGTCCTTTGTAAATTCCCTCCTCATTATTTCTAAGGGTATCAGATGTATCTACAAAGAAACTTCAGCTAGAAAAATTTCAGCCAGCTACTAAGTATTATCTGCCATTTATCGCCCTCCCCACCCCCCCTTTTTTTGAGACAGAGTCTCACTGTTGCCCGGGCTAGAGTGCCATGGCATCAGCCTAGCTCACAGCAACCTCAAACTCCTGGGCTCAAGCGATCCTCCTGCCTCAGCCTCCCGAGTAGCTGGGACTACAGGCATGCGCCACCATGCCCGGCTAATTTTTTAAATATATTTTTAGTTGTCCAGCCAATTTCTTTTTATTTTTAGTACAGACAGGGTCTCACTCTTGCTCAGGCTGATCTCAAACTCCTGAGCTCAAATGATCCTCCTGCCTCAGCCTCCCAGAGTGCTAGGATTACAGGCGTGAGCCACTGCGCCCGGCCTATCCCCTTTTAAATTCTGTCCTTTTCAGGGATATCTACTTCTGAGGTCTACATAGTCCCTAAAGCTGCAGAAATCACAAGCCACTGCCTACCAGGGCCCACATGCAGGCTGCCTCAGACCAGGCTTCTCCTGGTCACCCTGTCATCCATAGTGTCCCAGGAGGAGATCACTGGAGGGGCCCAAGTGGTTCCTGCTATGCGGGGTTCAAGCAGGAGTGGGGAGAAGGGTCTTCCTCCTTTTTGGTATTGTACTCCATTTCACTCCTTGCTGTAAATTAGCAGTCCTCCAGCTTTCATATGAAGTCTCCTGCTCCCAGGACTCAAACCTCCGCCATGGCTTAATAGAGAGACAAAGCCAAGAGTCAAATGCTCTGCAGAACTCCTAACTGCCCCTCCACTGGCCTCTGGGGTTTTGTGCTGGGCCAGGCTGATTTGTCTGACACTGTCTTCCAGTGAATTCTCTTTGCGGAGGCTCCCCGGTCCTTCTTACAAATGGACCATTTCTGCAGGCTTCCAAACAAGCCCAGACATGCTGAATCCCATGTGGAGGTTGCCCTGGCTCAGGGTCAGACACTGGGTTCCCAGTAACTATTTATTAGGCACCTACTATGTGCTGAGCACTGGGGTTCCAAGTATGCAGGTCTGCTGTCCTCGTGGAGCCATGGGAATTTAGAAACAGCTCCTTAAGCAATGGCCAAGTCAAGCCTTTACTCCAAGGAGGGGCACCTCCTGCTGAAAGGTCATACCAAAGTTGCCAATAATCACCTACTTGGCAGATAGCCTCTCTCAGTATAGCTTGAAGTTTCACCAAAGCTTCTTAAGCACTCCATTCACTGTCCTGGACACCCCTCACGTTCTCACCTGACCACGTGCCTCTGTCCGCTTCTTTCCATCTTGTAGCAGCGGCCTTTCCTCTCTACTCTTTGTTCTTGGTCTGGACCTCACTCCACTTTCCCCTCAGAGGTAGACAGGAGAAGGCTACTGAAAGGAGAACGAAAGTGAAAAAGCAGTAGGGGATTGTGCACACAATAAATCATACCTGAAAAGCCTGTACATTCTTTTGTTCAGCTCAAAGGAAGCACCTGAGTGCCCACTAATGTGAAATTAAAAATATGGAAATGGGCCAGGCGCGGTGGCTCACGCCTGTAATCCTAGCACTCTGGGAGGCAGAGGCGGGCGGATTGCTTGAGCTCAGGAGTTCGAAGCCAGCCTGAGCAAGAGCGAGACCCCGTCTCTACTAAAAAAAATAGAAAATAAATTAATCGGCCAACTAAAAATATATAGAAAAAATTAGCCGGGCATGGTGGCGCATGCCTGTAGTCCCAGCTACTCGGGAGTCTGAGGCAGAAGGATCGCTTGAGCCCAGGAGTGTGAGGTTGCTGTGAGCTAGGCTGACGCCATGGCACTCACTCTAGCCCAGGCAAAAGAGTGAGACTCTGTCTCAAAAAAAAAAAAAAAAAAAAAAAATGGAAATGGCTTTGTAGCCAATTTACGAATCTGTTTTTTCCCTGGTTTTGATCTCTGGTGTTGAGTAGGAAAGGAAAACAAAAATCGATAAAGCAGTCAGCTTATCTGTGGATAATTAAAAAGTCTTCTAAGTGGTGTCCACCCCTCCCATGCAAGGGCAGCTGCTTGTGGGAAAAGTTGAGAGGACAGACGGAACGCAGTGTCGCTTTTGGGGGACATACTTACATAAGCATGTGATTAATTTTGAAGGTAGAATTACAAGACATCATATTTTATTAAGAAGCTTGAAAGAGAAGCAGATGAAAACATCAAGCAAAGCAAAATGCAGAATTTGCAGACTTCAGTCAGATACGACCCAGCATTTCTTCATTGTGCCCATCCGCCCAGCCCCCATTGAGGCCGTAGCGCTTTGCGCACAGTAGGGCCTGAGGGAAAAGTTAATGTGTTAATTTTAGTTAAAACTGCATTCCTCCTATTCTCTTAGTGGCTTGACCTGGGTCAAACGGCAGAGAAAAGGAGAATAAAGAAGGCACCACGTAAAACAAGAAGACCACTGTTTAATAAATATATTTGTTCCTGGGTTCATTATTTTGCTCAAAAAGCTTGCGAGGTGACCAGCGCAGAATGTGGCAGTAAACTGTGCTAATCCCATTTACATTTTCAGAGTGGAGATCCAGGTTTTCAAGTTTGTTATGGGATTTTATGCAAAACAATATGCAAATCCAGAAATTCCTCCTGTTCTCCAGCCTGTGCCCAGGTCACAAACAACTGAGATTGGCGCCGGGCTCGCCGGGATCCCTCGCGGAGGGGGTGACCGAGCGGCGGTGACGGGCCGGGGGAAGGGCTGTCCCGGAGGCGGTCCCAGGGCGGGGCCGGTGACGCGCGGAGTCGGCCGGCTTAGGGGCCGGACCTCAGCCTCTCGCCGCGTCTGGCCGCCGCTGCAGCAGTGGTGGCTTCGCATCTCCAAAAGGGGCCCTTCGACTCCTGGCTGAGCCAGTCGGGCGCTGGGTCGTGGGGCCCCGCACTACTTCCGCTGGTCCCTGAACCGGGGATCCCTTCTCCCCAGAGTTGCGAGCAACTTTCCCCTGTCCCCGGCACTGCGGTGGCTCGGGGACCGTGGCCGCCGCAGGTTGCTGAACCCCGGGCCACGCTCCCCGGCTTTGCGCTCGTTGGTCGCTCCCTCTCTGGGTGCACGCTGGGGGTCCCCGATCTCGGCTCTGCGGGCGAGATGCCCCTGGGACACATCATGAGGCTGGATCTGGAAAAAATCGCCCTGGAGTACATCGTGCCCTGTCTGCACGAGGTCGGCTTCTGCTACCTAGACAACTTCCTGGGCGAGGTGGTGGGCAACTGCGTCCTGGAGCGCGTCAAGCAGCTGCACTGCAACGGGGCCCTGCGGGACGGCCAGCTGGCCGGGCCGCGCGCCGGCGTCTCCAAGCGGCACCTGCGGGGCGACCAGATCACGTGGATCGGGGGCAACGAGGAGGGCTGCGAGGCCATCAGCTTCCTCCTATCCCTCATCGACAGGCTGGTCCTGTACTGCGGGAGCCGGCTGGGCAAATACTACGTCAAGGAGAGATCCAAGGTAGGACGCGCGCGGGCGCCCTGCCGCAGCTGCCGCCCGCGGGGACGCGAGGCATTCGGAGTCCCTTGTATGTCGCCTTCGAAGGGCTGCAAACGAACTTTGGTTTATAACCAAGAAGTCAACCTGGTTTATCTCTCCCCTCTACCTCCCCTCCCTACCCGCCTGCCCCAGCCCCTCTGAGCGAAAGTCCACATTAAGGAGCTCAAAATGTATTATTACGATGACCTTCTGTTGACTTTGAAATAATGACTGGTGGGTGGTAAAAGTAAGACAAGCTGTGGCTGTAGTCCAATTTTAAGACATGGAGGTTCTCAAAGATCCAAACGAGAGAAAGGATGTTAGAAACGTTGTGTATGATCTGTGGTGCACCTGCACACATGGTCTTAAATGCCTACTTTAAAGCCACTTGATACTGCCCTTCTTTGTGGTCAGAAGGGGTCCCTGCAAAAGCACTCATAAGTTCTTGAGGCAGTTGTGATTTTGCAATGTGGCAGTTGGTTTGTGGAATTTGGCAGGTGTGGGAAGGAAGAGTTTGACATGTGAAGGGTAAAACACTTCACTGCTGAGTGCTGCCTTTGACATCTTGGACCCAGGACACTTGTTAGACCATCTACTTGGTCTAACTGAAAATTCTCTCCTGGTGCAGAGCCCTACACAACCTCCTTCCTTTTCCTAACTATCAATTGATAGCAAAATCCACATTAAACAACCATTTAAGTGCACATGAGTCTAGTCAAGCACCTCTGGAAAGAAACTGTGTTTTTGTTCACAAAGCTGGAAGTGACTCCCTGGGTGGTAATTTATCTTGGAAATGTTTACAGGTAGATTTGCAGAAATATGGGAACATGCAGGTACCATGAAGTTAGTGCATGTACATTACTTTGGGATAGCCTTACTCAGTCTTTCCTCAAGTGACAGTCCAGCCAGTTTTCCAGTGGCAATTCTTAGTGATTTGTACCTGTGGTCTGGGCAAAGGGCACTCAGAACTAGGGAAAACATTTCCTGAAACCCGGTGAAGCAAAGCATACTGGCATGAGGACATTCACTTACATAGCACTCTTTGACAACAAATGGAATATTTCTCAGTTTCAGGTTGATCCTGTGGTAAAACAAACCATTGTTGTCTCATTTCTCCACCAAGCTGAGAGGAACACTCTTGATAAAGGGCAGGTGGTAAACATTGAAAACATGTGGACATGAAGGGGTTGACGTGGGTGAGTGGGGTGGGGAGACAGACTGCTGTGCACCTTTCCAGTCAGGAGAACATGAATTGAATACCTGAAAGCATCCTTATTAATGCACACAATAAAGACAATCTTAGAAGAAAATGCTGCTTTCTAAATTTTACTTTGATTTGGGAAAAATTCAATTTTCGCTGAACTCTGCAGAAGATCGCTGTTAAAGTATTTCTTTTCTTTTCTTCTGTTGTTTTGGTGGTGGATTAGAAAGTCATTTGTCTTTTGATTAGTTTGGTTTTTGCACTAAATGACCTTGCTTGTCTCCTGAGCTGGGAGAGTGGGGAGAGTTATCTTCAGTATTGCTGAGGTGTGTGTAGAGTTAACCTGCAGTTTCTTCCAAACTCAGGTGTCAGGAATTTCCCCTCAGTGTTCTGGGAACAGAATTTGCCCTAAGAGAGGTCAGAATCAATTGGTAGAAAGAAGTCACTAACATATTAGAAAGTCAAATATTTTTATTTAGCTTTGACTTAATAGATTGGGGTATGGTTTCAGGCTAGAGTTTAACTCAAATGGAATGAAAAACACTGTGTAAGACAGGGTAAGGAAAAAAAAGATCTGTAGATATGATTCCTCAATTCGGGTTATCTTTTGGGTAGAATAACTTTTCAGCTAACCCTGTCAGAAGGTGACTGTGAATTGAAAAGAGAAAATTCATCCTGTTTCATACCCAGATTTCCAGCTTTATTTTGGCTGGGTTGGCTCTTCATTCCTGCCCTTTAGATAAATCACCTCTAGATTGGAATATTCCCTGGCCAATCAGAACCAAATGCAAACTGGGCTTGCACAAACATTTAGTGTAGTAAATAATTTTTTTTAAAAGTTTGATCTGTTTGTGTAGAAAAGTCTCCTTAGCGATGTCTTGTGGCCTTGGGTCTCTTGTTTGAAGTGCATTGTTAAAGTATTGTAGAAACACATTCCATTCTACATGATTTATATTAGTTCGACCTTAATTTAACCCTTTTTCTTTGTTACTTCACTGTCTTCCCTCAACAGACTCCCTTATTTTGTGTCGCTTCCCAGAGCAGAGATAGACCCATTTTCCTGCTGCATCCTTCAAGCAGATTTTCAATAAAAACCAAATTTTTAAAAGACAGAATGTGTACATCGATTTTAAAATTTATTTGCAAGTTTTTATTAAGGAAATTTTTAAACATATATACAGAGAGGCTAATTAATGAGCTCCCATCACCCAATTTCAACAGTTGCCAATATATAGATTTATTTTAGAACAATTGTTTTTTAGCTACTTTAGATTTTTGGGGGTATGCTTATTCATGCATCCATCCTAATTAAATACTTTTTGTTTTTTGCTGGATTTTGAAAGGTCATTGAATAATATTGCCCTTTATTTCAATGAAGCAATAGCAAAGGCATTCGGAATGAAACTTGAAATTCTGGAAGAGTATAGAAAGAAATGTTAGATGGTCCCTCTCCCTGCCAAAAAAGTTGTTAATGGTCAGAATTTTCTACTTTATCTTTGCTGCAGAAAAATTTAGGGTGATGAAGACCCTCTGGGCAAGTGATTTCCTGTCTTGTACAGCAGAATGGCGCCCCCTAACTTCAATCATGATCATTGCTGCAGATTTATCTGTTAGTCCCTTTTACCTCTATCTGTTACTCCTAGAGGTTTTAGACCATATCCAAGATAAATATTGGTCATAATTTGCTTCTTTTTCTTTGGCTTCCTAGATCTTGAAAATGGGTGTTTTCCAGAGAAAGTGTAATTTATAGAACCAAAAGTGCCTCTGCTCGAAGCAGCTCACTGTAGACTCACTAGTTAATAGTGCTAATAATAACAACTACCTTTTATTGAGGAGTTTGCTCTGTCTGGTACTGTGCTAAGCTCTTTACAAATACTATCTTACTTAACCTTAGGAACCACAATCTTAAACAAATTGAGTGATTAAATAATTTTCCCAAAGTCTCAGCGTCAATGGTAAGAAGCAGTTTATAAATAGGGGTTAGAGGTTTAGGCTTGGAGTTACCAACCTTGTGGCCTTAGACAAGTTGCTTAGTTTTCACCAAGTGTAATATGAGGGAAAATAATCTCTTTAAGCTTTTAGGGGGAAGGGGCATTAAATAAGATAATGTACATAAGGTTCTTAGCAGAATTATGAGATTCATCAACATTAGAAGGCTCCAAGGGAGAGATGTGGGATTCCAACCCAGATCTGTCTGATTCCAGAGTCTGTGTTCTTCCCTATGATGCCCTCCTGCTTTCGTCCTTTCATTTATTCAGCAAGTGTTTGTGGAGTGTTCACTCTGTGTGGGGTACTCCGCAGGGGTGGGAATGCCATGACAAACGAGCTTACCTTCACATATACTTTTGAATTGTAGGATTCTCTAGTTTACACTTGACTAATTCTCAAGCTTAAAACAAAGCAAAAAAAAAAACAAAAAACAAAAAAACAACCCCGCAAAAAAAACCAAAACCAAAAAACCCCAAACATTGAAGTGGGCCAGTTGAGTACATCTGAAGAGGAAATGGAGTGGTGTGCTAGTGTTTTCCTTCTGTTATTTTTAGGAAAAGTATTTATTAACAAGGTTGTTGTGAGGATCCCTGACTGGAGTAGCTCTGGACAGCAGCATTGTAAACAGATCATTCCTCCTCTAGAAACAATACAGAGGAATGATGAAACAACAAAAAGTTTATGAATAAAAAAATGTGTTGCAAGGTGGTGTGTTTATTCCTCTGCTGTTGAGCAATAACAGTTCTGGCCCACTCTTCTCATGGGATGTCAGGAATATCCATTACTTAATGGAGCTTATTATCATGGTTGCAAGCTACTTTAAGCAAAAACAGGATAATGTACTGCAAAGATCAGGGTAGCTCTTGGGACCCTGGTGCAGAAAATACAATCAGGGTTCTCAGAAGACTAGAGCCATGAACAAGGAACCAGAAAGTCCTTAACATCCAGGACAGCTGATGTGTTAGCTCTTTTCTCTGGAGACTTATGGCCTCCATCTTTGCTTCCCTGCTTATGCTGTTAATTTCTTCCCCACCCTTCAATCCGTCTTTTGCTGCTGTTCCACGCACATGGCTCAAGATGGCCGCCTCATAATGGCCCCTTCTACCTAAAGTTTGAGAAGAGCAGAGACTTAAGGAACCCTCCAGAATCCCTGTTTTCATTACCTGGGAAAAAGTCTGATTGTCTCACTTGGCTCAGAGGACCTATCAGCCTTGGTTAGGGGTGGTGGGGGCCTGTAGAATCATATGTCACAACTATGGTGTCCAGGTCCCATGAGAGCTGTAGTTCTTAGAGCACAGCGTTTGAGGACTGGACACCATAAACAGTATCTCTGCAGTTAAAATCTGTGAATAAGGTATTTTAGAGAGAGGAAGCACTGCATTTGAAGCACTGGAACATCTTTCTGTAAGGATGTAAGGGATTCCTATAAAATGCTTGGTATTAAAAATAACTTAGCTCCTGAAGGAAGGAAATTACTCCAAGATAATAATTTATAGAATACCACCCCAGTGACAGTAAAGCAAGTCTCTGCAATGGGTGAGTTTTCATGGCATTCTTCGTCTGTTTTGTTGAATTACACTTGGGAGCAAAGAACGTAGGGGTGTTCATGTTTAATTGATAATTTCTTTTGCTCAATTCTGGACCACTGGCCACTCCACCACAACCTTATCTGATTGCAGCAAAGCAGAAAATCAAGGAATATCTATTTAATTTATTCATTCACAAATCATTCTGTGTTTGCACTGTGGTAAACCTGTAGGCAAAGGGAAGTGGAAAGTGATTAAAAAAACCC